CGCCTTGATTGCCTTTTTTTAAGTCTTGCGGTCATGAGACGATGGTTCGCCCTTAGGCAAGGGGGTCCGCCGCCAAACTCACGCTAGGAATGCAGCTTGGCTTTCGCGATGGCACGCGTCGTCACATGACTAGGCACCCACGTGACTGAAGGCATGAGAGGAAGGAGCGATGAGCTCAATAGGGCCGGAATCAGCCCCACACCACAAAATTGAAAAACACCTTAAACGTTCTCCTTCTCCCACTTGCGACGACCTGACCTCCCGCCGACACTACCACTCAAAACCACCCAAAACCACTCCTCTTCAAATCAGCCAAAATGGAGAACGACCGCGGCGAGATTGTGGACCTGTAAGACATCACCTAGGACATTGCATATGGACATGCGAAGGAATAGATGAATCATGATACTGATACGGAATCACCAGTTACGTCCCCCGCAAGTGCAGTGCCACCAACCGCATCATCAAGGCCAAGGATCACGGCTCTGTCCAGATCTCCATCGCCAAGGTTGATGAGAACGGCCGTGCCGTCCAGGGCGAGAACCACGTCTACGCCCTCTGCGGTTTCGTCCGAGCCATGGGCGAGAGCGACGACTCCCTCAACCGACTGGCCCAGCGCGATGGCCTTCTCAAGAGCGTCTGGAGCGGACAGCGATAAATCAATAAAGCGTGGGAAAAAGGTACTCGACATCTGGTTCTGAGAATCCTCGACAAGGAATTCTGATACGAATGGACCACAGGGTTTTGGGTTCGGGCACGAAGGCAATGGGTGAAAGAAACTAGGGTTGGCTGCATCTAGCAAATCCACTTCGAGGCGTTCGGCTCGATTTTGAGACAACATTACGATATCCCGAATCCGTGTTTGAAGATGTGATGAACTGGTTACACTCCCCCCCGATACGGCTGGCGAAGTCTCCTCGGACAGACTTCACAAGTCAACCCACTCCGAGGATTCTGGGGCTACTCCGATAGTCTCCATGCCGCAGATTGACTAGGCTCTGAAAAAGCCGTAGCGCTCAAGTCGTTTGCTATGGTACAGATACGGGTCTAACATGAATTTTCAATTATGTGATTATCTTGAGTATGTGCAATTGTTATCGACTTGACATCATCCTCCGAGGACATCCAGCCATTACGTAGATACCAGTCCCACAGACCACTTGCAACTATGAATTTTTGCCTGTTCTGTTATCACATACGCAATGCTTTACATGACAAAGCGTTCAAATATAAACGTATGTGTTCCAGTCGCCTTGTACAAAACTCGTTGTTCGATATTGAGAAACATATTCCGGAACTATTGTGCCTTAGGCGCTACTATTGCTTCAGGCCAGTATTAGACTACATACTTGCCAATATCAGTTCCAAATTTATACTCTGGATAGGGTATCTATCTTAGACTAGTAGAAATATTACCCCGAATGCTTCCTTGCATCTCAAATAACTTGGACAAGTGTGTCAAAATTGCCCAGTCATCTCACTCATCAACAGCAAGTCCCTCTTTATAGACCGCCAACGCTCGCTCCCGGCAATCCTTGTGTGTGACGATAGGTTCGGGGTATCTGTTCTTCTTGGCTCGGGGACCGGCCTTTCGATTATACGGATCATGGATCGCCTTACTGTCTAGGTCCTTCAGTTCAGGAACCCACTTGCGTATGTAATCGCCGTTAGGGTCAAACTTTTCACTCTGTAGCAAAGGATTGAAGATACGGAAGTATGGTTGAGGGTCGACACCAACACTAGCACTAAAACCCCAGCCGCCGTTGTTCGAGGCAAAGTCACCATCAACGAGATGTTCCATGAAGTATCTCTCGCCTTTTCGCCTATATTCAAGTTAATGAACAAGTCCAATAAGACATGAGGAGTATCTTACCAATCCAACAAAAGGTCCTTTGCCAGGAACGAAGCGACGATCATACGGCATCGATTGTGCATATAGCCCATCGTATTCATCTGTCGCATAGCTGCATCAACAATCGGAAAACCTGTCCGGCCCTCACACCACGCCGCAAAGTGGTCGTTATCATATGACCACGATATGTTCGAGTATTCTGGCTTGAAAGGCTTGTTCATACTGCTCATGTTAGCGAATGAATAAACTTCCAGAAAGTCTGTACTTACCAGACGTAGGGCCAGTTGACGAGAACATGCTTGTAAAAGTCACGCCATGCAACTTCACTAATCCACGTCTGGATGCCATCATTGCCTCCATTCAATTTTTTGGTCTTGTTTCTGTCACGCGCAGTTCGCACACATGTTCTCGCACTGATTGTCCCAGACGCTAGATGGACCGACAGGGAGGATGTGGCTGCATCTGCCGGTATGTTCCTCTTTTCGTGGTAGTTTCCAATCCTCTCTTCACAGAATTTGTCCAAGCGCTTCTTTGCCTCGTGCTCTCCGCATGGCCACAGCGAGCGTAATCGCACCTTCTCCTCATCGCCAAGTCGTTTGCTCTTAGGCGCTTCAGGAATTTCAACATCGAATAGCTTTTTGTACTTCTTACGTGCGCTGGTTGGGTTCTTCTCGGGCTGCTCGTACAGCTCCAATAGGTCGAGATTCTCGTGGATGTGTGCAATCCATGTCTTGAACCACGGGCTGTAGACTGCGTATTGTTTTCCAGCACCAGTGTGAAGCTCCCCTGGAGGGACAACACAGGTATCGTGGACGACTTCGAGTGCTTTGCCATTCTCTGCAAAATCCTTGATCATCGCAGCCTCTCTTCTCAGTTCATCAACCTCATACTCCATATTGGCATACATATGACTTGCGCCCCATTCATCCATGAGCTCCAGTATTCGATCGGGGAGGTGTTTCCTCTTCTCAACTATCTCCACGTAGAGTGGGATATCGAGTTTTGCGAGGTCTTCCTTGATAACTGAAAGTGTCCGCAACATAAAGTCGATTCGCGCGGGGGCTCTGAGATGGGCTTCATAGTCCTGTGGACTGATGATGTACAGAGCAATCAACGGAACACCGGCTTCCTTCGCCTTGTCGCTCGCCAAAGCCAAGGCTCTGTTGTCTGATATTCTCAAATCCATTTTGAACCAGTGAACAATCGCATCCTTTACATCGATGTTTTTGCGTTCCTTTGCCGTGACCTCGAGAGCATCAATCAGGACTTCAATTGGGCGGGGAATCTCGTTGTCGTTGTAGGCGCGAGCTCGCGCATTGCTCATTTCTGGTGGGTAAAACTTTCGGATTGCGATCCCGTTCTCTTCGGCCTCCTGGGCTTTGTGATGGGATTGCCGTAAAGCATCTGTTGAGCTGGAACCCTTCGTCTTGGTGGTCTTTGCCTTTTTAGCTGTACCACCTGCTGAGGGAGACGAGGACTCGCGCTTGAGTCTCTTCGAGGGCATTGTTGTGAATTTCGCAAAGGACAAGAATGCACTATTTCGAAGTATTTGTGATTGTAATCTGAGAGAGAATTGCAAAACTCTCAGAGATAGTACCTGCATGCGCGATCCAAATCGCGACATGAAAAGGCGTGTACGGACGGAGCACAGCAAGGCAGTTTCGGTTGTGTATATGAAGGAGAAAACGCACCAGATTTTCCTACTCAAATCATCCTGGCCTCTGCTTTCTTTAACACTGTACCCATACCTTACTTAGTAACAACAAGTGGCTGACTGGAAAGCGTGAAACTTCGATTTGAAATACGTCATGATGTCCCTGGCGATCGAAGCTTCCACTGGAGGGATCTGAGATTCACAGATCTTTATGGGTTTAGTGTCCGATCTCCTTCTGTAATTGGCTAGTATCTGCCCGTGTTTGTTCTGTCGCAGTCTGTGCTTAATTTAATATGCCATACCTACCTACTGCTACCTACCCCTGAGGGCATCAGAAAAAGTGACCGTTGGAAGCATAAGAGATGAAAATAGTAAGACACTTTATGCTTCTTAGGGTACAATTATTAGACTACTTATTTTTATACCCTAAGACTTAGGAGGCTATTTTTTCTGCTACCCAGTAGCCTCAAGGCCTTCAGTTGTAACCGGAGTGCAGGCTTTAAAGATAAAAGAAAGGCCATTCCCATCATCTCCCCTCCCTTTGCTTTCTTCCCTACCTTGACATACCTACCTAGGTGCTTGAGAGAATTCATCATGAGGTCTACTCAATGTCGCTGTTTAAGCCTAATATCATAATTGCCGTGATTGGCTACAGAAGCCATAAAGAAACACGGCATTTCCGTATTACCTTTGTCTTCTTTAGGATAACTTATTTGGATGCCATTATTGCATTTGGGCAGCAAATAAATTACCTAAGCCAATTACTTACCTCCTAGCAGTGAATTACCTGTCCGTCACCTGGTAGCCCAGTAGGTACTACCTAAGTTTAGGCGCTGAATCAGATTAAAGTCAACACCGGCAGTTTCGACTTGGCCTTCCGCAACGGAGCTCTATGATTGGCTGAGTGTTGTCCGCAGGCTGGAGCGGTACCTACTAGCCTGATACCTTAACAGGATCCTTCGATGCCTGCGCGTGTCAATCTCACGCGTTTCTATCACCAGCAGGACATATAATACCACACTGACGCTCATATCATAAACGTTGCGCGACTTTGGAACTTGCTATACTTCTCGTTGAATGTTACCGTGGCCCGTGACACGAGTCGGCGAGCCAAATATTTCATTTGACTTTGAACGCCGTAAAAAGAAAGAACATCCAGACAGACACACCCTCTCTGTCAACCTGTACCACGGACTTCGTCGTATTTGGCGAGTCTGGCTGGCGGCAACGACGACCTTTCAATCTTATTCCAGTATACATCCTCATCAGATTCGCATGCTGTGCGCCGCTTCTTTGCATACCTACATTTCTGCAATTAGACCCCACAGGATTTCCGTCAAATCTACGGCTCCAGGCTTCACGCTGAAATACAAGCAACCTCAACCTCACTTCACCAAAGAAAATCTGCAGTAGCAGTGTTACTGTCACTCGCCGTCGCTTTCGCGAGTAGAACTGCTCTACTGCTACCAACGTCGCCCCGTTCCCTCATCAGCCATGTCCCTTAACAAGTCATGGCGGCCCCTGCCGCTTCAGTCGTCCCCTGATCTGCCTGTCCTCCTGGTATCGTTCCATAAAGATACGTCAGCGTACACTATTCACATAACCGACATGGCCAATATGTGGACAGAGTCACTCGATCGCAAGGCAATTTTCATGAGAGGGTGGAATGAAAACACTAGTATCGATCCCAGTGATACTCCAGATAACATGGCCAAATTTTTGGCAAGTATCAGTACTGCTTTGGACTCTTCTCAGCCAGGTCACTACGACACGAGTCTTAGCTTAGACCATGATAGTAGGTCTGAAGCAGGCGAGGACGATCTCACTCTGAATATCACTTGCGAAATTCCTGGATTACAGCCACTCAAATGGCCCATGTACTTGAAGAAATTGCCCGCAATCAACATAGCCACGAACCTTGTGCTCCCATTAATACAAGCACACCATGCAAAAGACTTGGAGATTGCATCTCTAATTCGGAGCTTGGGGCATAAAGACGCGGTACTGACCAAACTCTTGGACAAACTGGAAGCCATGGGAACAGGTATGGAGCATATCTTCAATGTTCTGTCCGGCAAGAAAAAAGTATCCAGAGTCGCAGCAGCAGAAAAGGTGCCTGGCCTCACGCCTTTCGATCGCAGGGGCTGGAAGGCGGATCTTCAGTATAAACAAGACAGCCCCAATAATCCACGATCATTAGTTGAGAGTGTTTTCGAAAACGGGGGGCTCGAATTCGAGCCGATGCCGAACAGCACCGAGTCACCTCAATTGGATCAATGGTGGCGGAATTTCGAAGGTGTTTCGTCTGTTGCACACCAACAGCAGCACAAAGCGGCTGTTACAGACAGCTCCTCGATCCCAAAGAACACGGAAATATGTCTCGTCGAGGACGATTTCCAGGTTCAATCTACACCCCCGCATCTTACGTCCAAACGGAAATCAACCGACGCAAGGGAGACACTGGCCACTGATGATGCCTCTACAGAAGGTGAATCAGCAGGCAGTGTATCACCAGCTCGAAATGCACAAAAGGCGGACAAGCCAGCCCGTCGTCTGGGCGCACTGGGTAAAAAGAAGCAGTCGACCCCACTGTCTTCCCCTGGCCCAATGCTATCTCAGAGAAGGTCGGATTCAAAGAACCAGCAGCAAGACGATTCGGAGACGGCATCCGAAGCGGAGGAGGACGATGAAGCGGTTTCTCCTCCGGCCAAGGACCCGATCCCGTCGTCTGTTTCCCCTGCCCGGTCCCTGGCAAAGAAGAGTGGTCTCGGACGCATTGGAGGGGCTAAGTCGAAGCACCCAGTTGAGAAAGGCTCTGCACTTGTTGAACCGGAGGTGATTGAAATCAGCGAACCCAGCACAGCTGCAGTTTCACATCGCCCGCCTCGAAAGTTGGGTGTTATTGGGAGACAAGCAGCCGCCCAGGAAGATCCAGCACCAAGTTCCAGTGAACGCGGTCAACGGGGTCGATCTGATGCAAAGGCATCTACTCCCGAGCCGAAAGTAAGAGAAACTTCGCAGGAGCGGGCTGACAGGCGACGCGAGGAACTAAAGAAGGAACTCGAGAAGAAGGCGGCAGCTGGTCCCGCGAAGAAGAAACGCAGGTTTTAGGTACACTTGTGACCTCACCCCGAAACACAAGCAGATTCAGACCTCGCCCATCTCAGTTTGTAAAGATCGTCCGACTCAAATAGCAAGGAAGTGATGGGGACAATTAACTACAACTAAGAAAGATGTTCCGGTATTTGGAGCTCCGTACGGCGTATCCCCCGTGGCCAAGCTGGCCAGAGTTGCTCCGGCCTTTGAGCCGTGTAATTTTGCGAGTTGAGCTACGTGGAAACAACCAGCGTTCGTTTTGGACAGCCAACATTCGTTACAAGCACATCATCAGTGTTTTTTTACATCTTGGAATTCAATAAGATATCGAACGACTTCAATAGGGAGGAACTCCTCGTTTCACGTGTGTACACAATGGACACGTACAGTATCTACCCAACAACGAAGAGCGCCATCGATGTACTTACATGTGTTCATGTTGTGGAAGCCGAACAGGAGTATACTTGTGAAACCACATTAAATGGTACAAATTCCTACAGCTGCAGTCATATACCAAGCACTATAAGTCGGCGTATTCCTTGAACATATACACGCCAGCACCGTTGTTCGAATATGCATTGCTAGCCGCTCGCAAGAAATTCAAGAATTTGATACTAGATTGGCACACCCTTCATGCTGCAAGATTCATCTTTCGCCAGGATCACAATGAGAAACTCGCCATGTGCCGGTGACCTTGTTACCTCATGCCTCGATTCCAAGCGGATGGTGAGGAGCTCAATCGGCAGCGAGCTTCTACCCGGAACAAGTACGAAAGATGTCGGAGGAAGCTCTTCTCTAGCGAAGGTCAGATTTATCCTTCACAAAGTAAACTATCGATAGCCCGCCAATCACCTCATATCTCATGCATTCTTTTGTGTCTCCATCTATGCAGGATAATGGAGTCCGACGTGTGGTGTGTTCACTAGTCATTCATTTGGTCCAGTCCCAGGAACGATAATTCTCGTTCTTAGGCTCGGAGTGTATCTTCCTTTACAGATCAAGGTGGTTTGAGAAACCAAGCGCCATCGGATTTTGAAGCAAAAGGGTTACGGACAGTTCTAAGACAACAGTCCTCAATGGCCAACACAATAACAATCGTACGATTAAGGCTTGATGAGGCGTTCCATGGCGTACTGTTGGACAGGCGCTGAAGACACCTTTCGAACTTGGAAGACACCACTCTCTGAAGAACTGCCAGACTTGGCCATGCTAGATCTCCGAAGCCTATTGTCATTGGATAGACTCCTAGGTATTGTGTTGTAATTGAGGGGTTATGAATACACACACCATGACAACAAGGGCCAACAGACTAGAAGCTGGTCTAGGTGAAGAGAGTTGTCTGCAAAGAGAGAAGAAAGGAGGACTGCGATACGACGGTTTCAGTAATCGAGGGATCAAGCCAGTCTATCTGTGATATCAACAGGGCTGATATGGCGAGATGATATCAACCCTTGAAGCATTCAGTACACACCTTGTCTTGGACACCAGTGCTGGTACCTCAAATGTTTCGCTCAACTAGCTACAAGGATATTCGCCCTCAGACATGGACATTTCGGCGAACTCTCGAGTCATGACGGCCAATTATTGGAATGACCGATGACTCTGTTTATCACCATCACCTCAGCGTGCGGCTTGACGATTATCTCTAATAAAGGAATCGTTCGTCTCGCGGGTTCAATCAGATTTATGGGTGGGTCGGGTGTTGGTTGAGCTCTATTTAAGATCTCAAAAAGCCTGGCAGTTATCGCGATCTAGTAACTGAATCTTAACAGATCGTGATACCATCTCGATAGTGGATCAAGTGGCTGCAAATGTTCGTTAGATCGTACCAGGTACCGGGTTACGGAACTGAGTCCAACCGCCAGCATGATTTGATCAATAGATGATTCTCTCCGAATTAGGACGCGGCACAGTATAACAGGGGACAGTGATCGACGGTTAGTCGTCTGGGACCACCCTGGTTGCGCCATGAGAAGTCACGGGCTGCACTACAAATCTCGCTGAACCCTGTTAGTGTCTCATTCATCTACCTCCCGTGCGTTATTGCCGCTGAGGTCTTTGCGTGCTCCTGGCTATCCTGAATATGCACCACAGTCCAGGACAGTACCACGCAATCAATGGCAGATCAAGGACCCAAAAGTCTGACCAAATTGGAAGTCGTGCATGTCAGCATGCTTCAATTTCGAGCAGTTGGTGTGTGTAACATTGGTGACATCGGATTCCTGGCTGAAAGAACGGGCCAATGAGGATTGCAGAGATTGCAGAGACAGTCAATCACCATCATCTTTTTTGACACGATATTATGTGCTTCGTTGGTGGAAAGAGCGAAAATAGATAGGTCCATGTGGCTTCACTCAGGGCGCAAGTGACCACGTATTGCTCATTTTTGGATCAAATCTGGCATGGAATATCAGGATGCTGTGTCGCAGTATTTGGGAGACCGCGGTCCCATCTCATGCTGCCGGGTTGTATGGATAACACTCAGTGCTCATACATCACACGGAGTGTCTCCTATCTGAGCAAGGGTGATGGTTGCCCCTCCTCTTCGATCGCCTGGACATTGTACAGTAATCACAATGCATGTGTCCTACAATGGGCTTCCAAAGATAAGATCTGACAAGCAGCCGTTTAAACACTGAGTCTTTCAGCTTTAGAGACTGTTTAGAGGTACATCATCAGCAACTTCAGCTCCCGAGCCACACAGCTTTTGAATCTCCATATTTTACCGCTTCGGGAAACCACGAAAACTATTCCATGCGACGACAATAACAAGTGCAAATGGATAAAGCTTCAGTAGATCCACCCATACATCCTGGAGGTCAATCATGCCCCGCCACCCACTTGAGATCTTCTTATTTCAACGCGCACAGTGAGTGGGATCTGCCAGTTACGACAGGGAAATGCCATGCTGTCATGCTTTTCTTAGCTCTAATTCCATTGTCGTCGAGCTGCAGAGGACGCTAGACAAGACAGGTGTCTAAAGCATAGCACTAGAGCACCATGCATGCATGTACTGCAGTGCTCTCAGCTCCGCTAACCGTTGATCGTAAGCCATGGTTGGTGCAGAATGCCTTATCCTATTGTCATTGTTGGCTCCAAAGCTAATCTTGAGCGAAGCCTTATTTCTAAACGGTGAAGCATATCAGAGTGCACACCAAGAATTAGAGGCGTCTTACTTTTGGTTGCCTATTTGGGTTTCGTGTTGTGAGAATGGGCGGCATGGAAGCGCACAAATGTTCGGAGGTCCTGCGAAGAAAGGGATAACGTGCTTGGCCTAAGAGAAATTTCGTTCAAGAATGATGGTCCTCACCCGGCCCGTTCCTGGTTGGGCTCAAGGTAGTTGACCTGTCAAAGTGTCAAACGCACACTCATGACGAGTAGTTCAAGCCGCTACTTTGAAGTTCAATGGGCAGAAGAAGGATGGAGATCTCGTTCTTTGTCGATCACACCTGCCGAACATTTTCGCTCAGGATTCTGTGATGAGCTTCCTTTCCATCACCTGTTTCATGAGGAACTTACTTCCCTTTACTCTTTACAGCACACACCACACTGTGCACATATACACTTGGATTTTGAATCTTGTGTCACCATAGTGACCATATTCCCGGAACCTATTGGCTGTCGACGCCTGAGATATGAGCCCGCGACCGACAGAAAGTCTCAACAAGACATTGCATATCTCGATTAGTGATGGCTGGGCAGCCCCACACCACCAGGTATCATGGGATGAGTAGGCAAGGGATGATTTCAATCAGCGAGAATGGACTCAGTCGGCAGTGCAATGTATACAGGGGAAAGATGCAGAGCGTTCCTATTCACGAAATTCACCGATGACGGGGATGCTGAAGGAAAAGGAGACTGAAGAGACCCATCAACGGCGATTTGAGACATAATGAGATTTTACCGTACAAGGAATACAATTCGGGGTCGTTGTCGCTTGCTAGCAGCTGCTGTCCTGGCTCTTCTCATGAGCCTAACCAAGCTTCTAATGACACAACGCTCGGCAGAAGTTGCGCCTGGTTTCTACAGTACAGAATGACCCTTTCCGCTGTGCCTGAAAGGTAGACCGTATCTACAGAACGGTCTCAACGACATGGAACGCCTGCTCTCTTGCGGTCGAAACGGCCCTGGGCCCGATAAGAACTGTCCTCTTGATCTTAGCATACCTGCGGCTCGATCCTTCTATGCTGATCGTGTCAGTATGTGAGTGGAGAAGAGTCGGGGAACGTCGGTATCCCGCTCTCAGGTTAGGTGAAGCGCTTGTGTATCAAGTTTGGCCTTGAGATGATATTCACTTTATTTCTATTAATTCTCAAGCATTACCTTTTTGAGAAAGGACCCTTCTTGACAACGCCAATGTGTGAGCTCCTGGCAATCATACCAAGCCACTCACTTAGCCTCGATTGTGCTCGTTTTCTCAACACCGGTTCTCCTCTCCACATTGAGAGTAGCACAGCTCAGCGTGATAGCGAAGCATCGCGATAGGGTTGCAGGGGTCTGGGATGAATAGGATGAGGGGGTCCGGATCATTCCCCGTTGGCTCAGCTATTCTGTCCCGACAGTTTGGTTCACCAATGAGAAATGCTTCATTTCTCGACAATGGCCTCATGAACCCTGTCTTTTCCCCACCTCCATCTGCGGAATTTGAGCGATCAATAGCAGGGTCAAGTGGGGGCAAGCAAGACATGGTCTTCTAGACTCGATGCACTGTAACCGGATGAGATTGCGATGAGAACGGTCGGTCAAGGCCATCGTCATGTCACTAATGTGACAGATTGATTCTGCTTCACAATAGACATGTTTTCAAACGATGGATGCTTGGAGGTGTTTAGAGTTTTATTATGCTGTATTTCTGGCAAGTCTACCAATACTATGTATGTGTCCGTGTGAAACTCTCTTGTAGATTTCCCTCTATCAGATTGTGTGTATCCCATGGGCAATTTACCATATCCGTCTTTCTTCAGCATTCTCGGAGAGGCCAGCCAGTAAAAGGGCGCATCCAACAATACGAGTCA